TAAAATTGCCGTATTTAAACAATTAATCTTCCATTCATACCAAAGTAAGGCTTTTTCTCCAGTCAAAAAACCGGTAACAAGTCAATAATGAAAATTTTTACTGTATTCAATTATGACTTTTAAGTATTAACCTAAAATTTTTAAATGTTCCATCTTGCTCTATGTTTTTTGTAATAAATTACTTGTCAACATTTTCATAGATATTACAAATTGTTTCGTTTACAACTTGAACCCGATCTATGTAACTCTACTTTACCTTAAGTTTAATAAAAAATCATACCTTATTGAAAACCAAATTTGTGAAGAACAAAACAAAAGCCATTCATTAGTATGTACTACGTATTGTTCACCGGGTTAAGTAGTTAGCTAGAACGAGGCTTACCGACGATCAAATTGAACTGTTAAAATGGATTTCCAGAAATCCTAATATGAATTACTAACATAACAAAGCTATTTCACTTGTTTTCTTTTTATCGGAATGGAAGATAAAATAACAAAATGGATCAATTTAATAAAATTTATTTTATTGTTTTTAAGATTTTCATAAATACATATTTCTAATCACAATGTCATACAATTTTTACTTTAAAACCTTACTGAAATAAAATTCCTTTTGCTTTAAAAATATTCAAGAAATAAAGGTGAGCTACACAGGCAAATTATTATATATTTTAATAAAAAAAATCTCCTAATATTATAACATTTCGAATAAAAATCTTATAAAAATGTACGTTTAACCGAAACATGTTGCTTAAATACAATTACAACAGATGTTTGAACAAATTTGAGAGTGAAAGTATGTAATATAGAATACATATTCCGATTGACGTTTAATATTCTGAGGCACGAACTTCTCGTGTCTTCCTATTTTATTACCAAATAAAACAGCATGTTGTATACAAAATTTACTCCGATACAGTGGCGGCTGGTGGGTTATCGAACTGGTGGTTCACTTTACTAAAATATTGACAAAAACAACAATTGACATAAAATATGTTTATTTTTTGTACATTAAATCAATGCGACGACATTTTTCTGTAGCGAAATGTTCTATCACCTTTTTATTAAAATCTGGTATTTTTTCTATAAATTTCTTTTCAATACTAAGCACAGAAAGTGCATTTAGCCGATCCTGAGACATGGTATTTCTGAGAAAAGTTTTGATTCTTTTCAGTGTCGAAAAACATCACTCGCTCTCTACTGAAGTCATTGGTATAGTATAGATGCTCCTTCATAACTATATCCAACTCTGATACAAAGTCTATTAATCCACGAAACACTCCAGCATTACTGGACTCAATAGTTTCATCGTGACCTCGCAAAGCTAACTCAAATGCACCACAAAACTTGACACAATCGATAAGACGTGATAAAATGTATCTGTTTTTATCAACTTGTTTATTATACTTTTGGATATTACTTCTATACACAGAATCCAGCTGATTACGAATATCGACTGTGCCTAACACAGACAAACTCATTACATTTTGTAGGTGTACTTGTGAAGAATCGTGTTTTTTTATTTTTTCACTTAAATGCGTCAAATCCTTGATTCCAGTTTCTGTCCAAATCGATTCTCCGCCAAAAATAATGCAAGGAAAACAAAAGAATGCATTAAGACGCTCACATCCACACAACCATTTCTTTCTATTATACATTTCACTTTTAAAACTTCGTATACATGCTTTATTTTTCGATTTACACTCTTGTTTTAAATTTAAAAAGGGCCGTGGCGGCCCGGCCAATTTTATGTTCACTTTACTTTGAAAAATTTTGTTATTTTCTTTAATATAATCAATATTTATACTCATTTTCAACTAATAAAAAAAACACAGTACAGAATAAAAGTTCTATTATAGAAACGAAATAAAAACTAAAACGAATTACGGAAATAATTATAAACAATAACGAATTAACGCGTCACGCATACAGTGAAAGTTGAAACAATACCAATAACGATTAACGAAATGTCAATCATAGCACCCATCCTTTCGGCCGGCCCCTTGCCGGCCGGCTCAATACGTCATACATCGGGTGCTCTCGGTGACCTTCGGCCGCTTCGTGCGGCGCGCGAGAACCGACTCATTACTCGGTACATTTCTATGAACTATCTTTTGTCTCACGCGCCAGGCGTATTGATGCGTGTCTCATACAAGATGTATTAGCAGTCCTCGTGCACTCGCCGGAGCGCACGATATGAGTTTAGTAAAGCGCTCAAACTTTTTGACCATAATTGGAAATTAAATTTTTTATACCTTTTTGTATGTTTAAAAAATAAATATTAAAATGGTAATTTAAAAATTAAGATGACATAATATTTTGTAATTTTTAAATATTTTGAATTGGTGGTTCAGCGCACGGGCGCACTTAAGGTACAGCCGCCACTGCTCCGATACTATATTGAGACCGTGGCGTTGTATGTGGACACCATATACCATGTTAATGTCAACCTTAAATGGTCTCATACAATGTAAGGAATATATTGTATATTATTATATTGAGTGACACAAAAATATATTGAAATATTTTTTTTATATTGAATTTTATAAATATTAATTTGGTAGAAAAGATGATAGGTCTATAATTTTTACGTGTATTCATTTTACTAAAACAAAAGTTTTCAACGCATTTTTTACAAATTTATAACTACTTACTCTTGCTGAATATTTCAAAACTTTACTTTTATTTTGGTAAAAAGGAAATTTTGATTCACGGGGTTTACTTAAAAATATTCGTATAGTATATACGAAGGTAAAGGAAAAAGTAATAAATATTATAGCTATGATTTTATTTAAATTATATGGTCTGGCCTTGAAGCGAAGTTTTTTTCAAAAAGGTTTCACTTACGAAGAGAGGAATTTTAATATCAGTTTGAAATATTTTGACGATTATATTGGTTTTCATACCCTTTATTAGATTAAAATATTTGTTGGAGTCAAAATGAAAGTCATTAATAAGAAGTAAATTTATAAGTATTTATAAGATCTTGATATCTTTACCCAAATATTATCTACTTCTTTAGTATACAAACATAATTATAAATAATAACAAAACACAAGGATAATAAAATTTCCCAAACACCAAAAATCTAAAATGAAAGGTTTTAATACTTTTATTTTTCATGAAACTCAGATCAAAGAGCCATAAGAAAAGAGAAATTATTAAAATATATGTTACTTAGAATTATAACTATGTAGAGTGACTTCATTTCTATCATAATAAAATTCCTTTGTAAATCATACAAAACTTGTGTAACACTGTTTTACTTCAAATAAAGAAGGTATTGGTCAACTCTACCAGTTATAAAAATGTATTTAAAATGTCCTGCAGTTGGAATTATATACCAATATACAGCTAAAAATGTTTAGCTTCTTTTAATAGAGAACAAATTGAATCATTTTACTTATCCTCTGAAGTCAAAGAAGTGTTTAACAATGTTAAAATTCTATCTTTTGGCCTTGATTATAGAATAATTTGTTTATCTTGAAAAAATATTAATAATATACATTTCATATCCACATTAAAAACTAGCATACTCGTTTAATTTTTACTCCCTCTAAGAAGAAACAAATTTGAGGATAATTTTTCTTTCGAACAAATAAATTAAATTTTATATTTATATTCCGATCACATCAAATGATAATTTTTAACATAAAAATGATTATAGTATCGTTACCAGTATCTTTTTTAATAACGAAATATTTTTTTTGTTTGAGAGGATGCAAAAGAATAAAAGAAACATTATTATAAGAAGAATAATCTTTTAATTACATTGAAAAGATGTTATTAGAGCAGATAATGTAAAGAAAAGACATAATAGTTACGAACTCCAATAACTGCTTAATACATACTTTAAACATTGGCGAATATAAAAGAGTAACCTATCTTTTAAGAATCTGAGAAAAATAAGTCAACCTTTCTTATAAGTCTGCAGCTGAAAAAGAATTTTATAATATACAAATTGTTTTGATCCCAAACAATAAAAGAATATTCACAAGTTATTTTTATAATACAAATATAAATTGTTAGTCATTGTTAAAAAAAAAAAAAAAAAAACAAATATTCAAGACAAATATTTTAGATATACTACATAGTTTCAGACAAGAACGAGTGTTATATATGTAGTTGTTTATCGTATTCTTTAGTGAAAACCCTCAAGACAATGAAAAAATATTCTTTACTAGTTTTTGCCCGCAACTTCGTTCGCGTTAGTTTGGTCAAGAGTAATATATGTAGGTGTAGCTGACCAATCGAACTCTATTCCGTCTTACAGGCCATAAATAATCAGGTTTTTCCTGTTTCAATCAAACAGAATTGACATATTTGTTAGAATTGTCAAATCTAATGTCAAAAAAAACTTTTGTATGGGAAACAGAAAAGGGCTGTTTTTATGGTTTTCCCAGTAATGAATCAATTTTTCTCACCTTTTAAACCTTCCCTGGACTTCCAGGAGTATTTCAACACTAAAATTAGCCAAATCCGTTCAGCCGTTCTCGAGTTTTAGCGAGACTAAGGAACAGCAATCCATTTTTATATATATAGAAGATTTGTTAACAAATTTAAAATCTAAAATTTGTAACTTCGTCCAAAATCAATTCAATGACCCTTTCAGCAAAGTAATCTTAATTTTAAGGGACATTTCGTTGACTAATATTAATTGATAGCAATTATTTTGAAGTTCGACTAATTGTTATTAAGAGCTGGTATTCATCCAAAGATTTTAAAACATCTCATTTTAATTAATAATCATCTTAATAAATATAACTCGTGTAAATATGTGTGTTTAAACAGCAAGACTAATGTTTAACATATCTTTATTGATACAGAACTACAGAACGCGTTGTGTGTAACAGTTAATATTATATTTTTCTGTAAAATAAACATAAAATGAGAATTACTATAGAACTGAGAGCTGAGTAAATATTTGAACGAACTATGTGTTTGAGTGCTGTAACACTATGATCGGTTTCATAATATATATTTAATTATCACGTGATAAAATGTCTTTTCGAACTTTAAATTCGTCAATCGGTTGGAATGGGAGTGAAGTGTGGGAAGTCAGTCCCTTGGACTTGGATGTGTTCTACAATCCTGATGTTGTCATCATCGTTCTCTATGTTGTGGTGCTGACTGCTTCCCTCTCTGCAAACACGCTGCTCATCTTCATAGTCATCAAATTCCAGTATATGAGAAGGTAAGTTATTCCCAAAGTTTGATTGAATTTCAAGTTTTAGGTTCACCAGATGGCAAGGGTTCTCCGTACAATTGTATTGGAACGGTAAAAAATATTTTTGAATTTCTTTAAAAGGTAATAATTAATATTTACTTAAGAGATAAGATTTTCTTTTGTTTTGACACATTTTTTATACAATGACTACTCAAAAAATTGAAAGCACTTCATATTAATAATGTCTCCTCAATGGGGACGAAGCGGACTTCATAAAATTAATCACTTTTTGAGTGACGTGTATTCTTTTCGTTTGGTATTTTGCTTAAATTGATTGGAAAAAATAATTATCAAGGTGGCTGCTGTCTTTAGTTTGGTACTGTCCTATTTCTTTGTCAGTATAATCTGTTAGTTTATTATAATTGTAATAACATTATTAATATTATTGTATAATATGAATAATCAATACCTGATTAATATTCTCACATCAACATTGATTTAGAAATTAATTCAATTTTGCGGTTTGATGTCACTCAGCAATTATCTGGACGTCTGTCATGTAATGATATGAAAATGTCGAATTTTTGATGAGTAGATGGAATTTATAATAAAATGAAAGTTCATTTTGATTATTTTCATTTATATTTGTGACATAATTTTATAAAACACTCTGATATTTAATACATAAAGATTGTATAGATGTCATGGGAAATAATTATATTATTTATATTGGATCGGTATTAAATAAAAGTACAAAGAAAATAAAATCACATTGAAATACATTTGAATATTTCAGTATTGTCAAAATTTAATTTAAATATAAGCTGACGTAAGAAAAATTGGATCGGGAAGTTAATTCATGGGAAACATATTACAAGTAACGTTTTTTGACAAAAGATGACACTATTACAACGTCTAAACAAATGTGAAAACGAAATACATTAAGCTTATTTCTATTTTTGCTTTGTTTGATACCTCACCTTAATTTTTAGAAAAAGGAAGGATGACTTGTCTGCGATCGAGGAGGGGAGCCACTCTTGTATATATGTACTTAGTTTAATAGACAAAACAGACATTGTCAATTCGATAAGAGCTGTTTTGTATGTACTATCTTTCTATAATTTACTTACTTTAACATGTGTTACAAATGTAGCATTATATAATTAACATACAGTGATTAAATTTATTTTATTACATTTAGAGTAACTGCTAATGAACATCCATACTTTTCTTTTAAATATCCACCAGATACTTCTAAACTATCATTTTATTTGTTACTTGGTGCAAAAGTAATCATAGGTGGTTAATATTGTATCTCAGTAACAGAGTATTCGTTAACTAAATCTTTGCTGCTTGATTTGTAAGTAACTTCATAGTGTGTAACAAACCTGTGATCTACACAGTAAAAACTATTTGTTTACCATATCATTTCCTAACCAGAAACTTTTATTTAATGAAAAACAAATTAAAATAAGCTACTTTTTTAAATGTTGTTTTATTCATTGATACTAAAAAAATCTTATATTCGTCCAATTGCCAATAAACTCCTTTACACGTTGAAGGAAATTATTCTAAGAAAAGATCTTTATATAAATAGAATCTGATAATTTTAAGGTGAGAGTTGCAACAGGTTATTTAAATTTTCGTCATCAGTTGATTTCCCTGAGTCTCATGTTTTGACTTACCTTCCTCGTTGTCAGAGCCCTAAGTTATTATTAAATTGATAAAATAAGTCCTACATTTTTTCTTTTCATTATAATAGACTTCAATTAGTAAATTACACTTATATATCTCAAAAATAATGTCGAAGAAATGTACGAGAAATGAAATAAAAAAATATGTTAATTTGAACGAAATATGTATTAGTTATGAATATAAGACAAGTTAAATGTAATGGATACAAAGGGTATTCACCATTTATGTAATTGTATTAACATTTATAAGTGTCGAGCTTATCTTTAGTTGCCGAAGTATTCTATCAATAAATCACCCCAGCTACAACTTAGGCAGGACATTCGATTGGTCAACAAACCACGTAGAAGTTATTAGATTGGCGATAGTTTCATTGTGCAAATAGAAAACAAATTTAATTTCATGGAATGTTCAATTCGAGTGAGCCCACTTTATTCTTGTTCACACAGAAGTCAATGTCAAAATTAAATACTACTAAGCTCTTCTTAAATTTCTTTTTGTTTTTCAACTTTTAGGCGTTTGAAAACAGCGAACTTGTAGTTCTTGGCATATGTTGGAGTACTTTTTTTACTTTTTCTTTTACGTATATTTACGTAAGTAGGCGTAATTTATGTCAACATACATACAGCAAAAGTATAAGTCACTGTTTGGTGAATAATCTCTCAAAATCCTACTTTGATTCTTAATTTTCTTCTGAGTCTATTTTCTGTACAAAGTGTACAACTTTAGAATTTCCTGACTGTTGACTCTTGTAAAGATTATCCGAGTAAACTTTTGCTTTGTGTCGACGTACAAGATGTATAGAACATTTGTTGTAGAAAGAGATATTTAGTAAATATATATGTAACAATTGTTTTCTACTACGTACGTAAGAAAATATATACATTTAGATATGAATGTATCTATATTGGTATGAATTTAAATGTATGTTTGTATGTGTGCCATGCATTTGGATTAAGGACAAAATTTTGTAGCTTGCAGCAACTAGAGAAACCTTAAAGTGGAATATGTGTAGCTCTGCCACTAGCCAAAAATGAGCGATTATTTCGCAAAAAGAGTTGATGTCTAGCATACGGCCGATCATAAAATTATAAGGCAAAACATTTTACCAACAAAAAAGTACATATTGTCCGATGCCACGTACCTGTGTGAAGGTGGGGGCGATGATGCAATGGTCGTTTACATATATTCAATAATATTGATTGTTCGATAAATAATAATTATATATACATATGTCTCGCAAAATTTATGCATCTGTCTCCAAAAGTAAAAGAGCAGAAACTTCTTGTAAGAGTTTCATTACCTTTGTAAGCTGCATGTCATTTCTTACATTTTACTATTTCTATCATAATTTGTTTCTTTCAAGATTTTTATTTCTGATACTAAAGTCATTTAATTTATTTACGCAACTATAGTAAATAATGTGTGATAATTTACATAATTAAGGTGTATTGACGCATTTAACTTTTATAATTTATGTAAGAGATTTTAAAACAAAATATATGTACCTTAATGAATATTTTAAAATTAAATAAGGCCTTACCAGTTATGGCATGCTTACAGTTTTATTTTATTTGTGTTATACACACACACGCATACACAGTACACACACACACATAAATAAATAAATATGAAGTGTGGTCTTCTATGTCCGAATATTTTATAGTCAACATACGTCATCATACTTTGGCTTTCGTATATAAGACATTTAAATTGACACCCTTCAAATTAATCGAATATTTTTGGGATTCTTAAAGATAAGAATTATATCTCATTTGTTCAAGTACATCATTCTAAGTGAAACATCTCTGCTTTACTGTCTATGTATAATCCATTTTTAAGATTTCAACTTTCTGAAATATGTTTGAATATTTCTTAATCTAACTTTTATATTCGTGAAACCCTTCGACTTTGATCTCTTAATTTAGTATTAAGTGTCAACTCAAGTCTTTTTCAATTACAGCTATTAATATAAAGAGTACGAGCAACTTTTGAAAATTATTTTGGGTATGTCGTATATTTTGATGTCTGAACGTCTTTTAATTTTTATGTTTGTTAAAATAGATGCGAATTTGTTTTTTAAGTTAAGTACTATCATATAATATTCAAATGATTTTTTTATTATAACTTAAACTGTGAACTGTTACAAGACCCTATGTACCTTCAACGATAATGTTCTTTATAATTGCCAATACCATACCATAGTAACAGAATAAAATCATTGAATCAAAATACTAAATTGTTTAAATATAAGTAGTTATTATAATGTTAAATCTATATTTATTTCATTATAGAAACATTTGGGCTTCAATTTGTAAATTGAAGGTATAAATTCTGACTCCAGCCATTTTCTATGGTATTGATAAAATAAACGTTATAGCATAAAATATCATCAAGATTTTTAATAAGTATTTTAATATAATTTACTGTGAGTTTGATTTGAATCATTGTATACATTAAAAATTAAACTAGAAAGCAAGATGTAATCAGTATTTGCTTGAAACTATAATTTGAGCACCAAAACTAATATGTTTATATATATAAATAATTCTATTTACATATTCATTAATTGATTATTTTTGTTTTTAAAGATGATTTTACTCAGTTAATACCTGATCATTCAAAACCTTACTTATACATTTCCAATGAAATCCAGGAAAACTTTTGTCATGAAAAATATAGTCTAGCAAAAAACTATACACTCCTAAATATTATTACGATTGAGTCAGGGTTGGAGGGTCTCATCCACTCAGCAAATACCGGACATTTAAACTGGGTACGCCGAAGATAAAGCAATATCACAAAAAATATATCTACATTGTTAGTCTATTTCTATGTTAGAGTTTTTATATTTACCAAAACCTAAAATACTCTGTTCAAACAATACATTTGCAGCTGAGTGACCATCTTTTGTTAAGTTTCGAATCTATTGACTAAAATAATAAAGTTACCAACTAGTCATATTTTGTAAATTTTTCGTACTTACTATAAAAAACTTTGTCTATTTATTTGTTAGCAAATTTAATTATTATCTCGTTATAATCTACTTAAAATATAAAATTATACATTGAATACTTATAATACTTTTATTACTTTGTCCAGACAAAGTTGAACTTCTAGTCTGCTAGAATATCTGTTTTATTGTTGCTTTCACAACCGCTTCAATTTTGTTGGTTAACTTCCAAAGTTTCTTTGAGTCGTTAAAAAAATGACGTTAAGTGCAGTTTTAAATTTTTTGGTTTTTGTTTCGTTCGCGGTCCAAGTTTTTGTTATATATTTTGTTATTTCATTACAAATATTTTTACTATCATAGTTTAATATGATTATAAATAAAAATGTCTTTAATATAGAAGCATACTAATTAATTGTCTTTAAGTCGATGTGTTCCTTTGTTTATTAATAAATATTATCAGTTACTGATAAAGATTAAAACTAAGAGTTATCGGTTTGTCAAGTTGCATGGGTACTGATAGTTATCAATGTCTACTATTTGGTACATAATTTAAATAATAATAAACTATATAAAACATGATCTAAGTTTTATATATAATTCAATTTTATGTATTTGCATCTAATTCCTCTTCTCAACAACACCATCATTTTAAATAAATGTGTTCGAGTCTTGTTACTTTCCGCCAAAAAACGAAGGCCTATATCTTACATTTAAAGTGGTGAGGGATACACTGAAAACATATTTTCATGTTAGTGAAAGAGTCAGAACGTGAGGGTTGTAGTAACATACTAGATTCACATCGGTTTTCTCGCTAGTATATGACTAGACACAATCACATCAAAGAACTAAGAAGTGATTGTTTATGTAATAGCGATTTTTTTTCATGACAATTTTTTCTATAAATAAAAGGTCATAGATATTATTTTGCCGGAAATTTATTTTAAGGCAAAGATTGTAGACGAATGAGTCTTTTTTTTAATACAATATTTTTTGATTTTTGAACCTTAAAAAAATGATTTAAATATAATAGATACAACTCGATTAATAAGATATACGTATACTCGTATATGTTAGGAATATATTTTATGTGACATTCAATATGGTCAAGAATAATTTTTTATTATTACATTTAACGATTCCATAAATTTTATAGGTACTTAAATATAATTTATTTACTCAATAAATGTATTTGTATTATTCATATTCTAAGTCTAAGATTTTGGATATATAAGAAAACCAGAAATGTTATTCTGAACACTGTAACATTATGAAACCGCCTTTAGAGTGTTTAAAAAATATATTTTAGTAATTCAGAGGTCGACTTAAGCCTTTATTATTTATTCTTATCTTAAACCTTTTAAATGCTTAGATTTGAAAGAACAGAAACCCTGTATTGTGTACATAGAGTGTTATAAATTTATTCAATAAATTTTTACATTCATGGAATTAAAATGCCACGAGGGTACAAAATATGTGATTAGGATCTGAAACGTAGCAATAATACTGAACTAAAAAACCCTGGGAATACTTAGTTTTTATTGAAGAGCTATTTGATTCAGTCATGCGTGCAAAGATAACTGTTTTATAATATAAAAAAAAACCTAAGAATATATATACAGGGTGACTGGTGAATTACTATCGATATTTGAGGACGTGATATTTGACGATCTATGATGATTTTCATAACCATAAACAGAACATTTTTGTTTAAGTTATTATATCTCAAAATAAATATTCGAGGCGCTATTTTATTTCATATTGTATAACTGAAATTATATTTTTTAATTTTTTGCTTCATAAATAAAATAAATATTAACCTTATAAAATTTTGAAAGCCGTAAATCTCGCTACACAAGTTGTCTTTACTAAAAAGTAGCTTTAAATAGATTAATGTTGGGATCCGACCACTAAAGCATTAATGGTAAGGACGTGGCAATAATTGGAAAACATACCTTTAATACCCGCGTGTGGTTTGTCCCTATGTATCGTAAAATATGTAACGGGCGATTGAAGATATGGTCGTTAATACTTCAATATTTGGTGAATACGAAGGTTTTAATTTGTTAGTCTTTTGAACAACAGACGAGTAGAGGAATTTGGAAAAATGGTTATCGCCAACATTCGTTCGTATACATATGCGGGGTATACTTTAATAGAAGCTATTGAAGAAAAATGGAGGCATTTCATTTTGATTCTTTGTATTTGTAGCAAATACTTAATTCATGAAAACACTAAGTGAAAATTAAACTCAAAGTAAAAGAGACGAAACCTCTTAGCATTCAATTCAATGGATTCACCGTGCGGGTGCCGGGTCCATCGCGTTAGAGGGAGAGGAGCTTCAACAGTGCCTGGGACTTGCGACCCAAGTGTAGGTTTAAGGGGCCCCTTAACTAACGCGCGTTATACGCTCACCTCCACTGTCCAAGTTCCTCTCCCTACCTAACCAAATTTGAAAAGAACCTACTAGGGCTGCCTTCGACGTACGTTCTAAGAATGAATTAATGTTAGATCTGGACAGGCCCAAGTCTTTTAGTAGGTCATAGAGAGATTTAGCTGTTATACCTCTCACTCCCACCTCTACCGCGTACAAATCAACGACGAACCTATTTTTAGTTAGTTCGTTAGTGAGCTCGTAATACTTATTGACCTTGATGGCATGGTCTTTGGGGATGTTGGTTTCCCAAGGCACCGTAAGCTCTATCATCACAACGCGCTTTAAAATACGCGAATATAGAAATATGTCTGGTCTGGAGGCCGACGCACAAATATCCTCGGGGATTTTGTATTGTTTCGTATCCATCATGATAGTCCAATCCGAAGCCGCTTTAAGGATAGAGTAAGGCTTGACGTTTGATTTTATAGCCCTGGTGCCCTCTCTCACAAAACCTATTGATCGCTCGTTTGTGGTTATTTCCCTTTGCGCTCTGGCTACCGAAAGACTAACCGCTTCACGTATGATCTCTAAAACCCTATCGTAACGACGCGAGTATTAACCGCTGTCCAGGAGAACCCTACATCCCACCAGCAAATTCTTGGCAGTTCCAACTGCCTTTCCGCAGATATAGCAAGTTTTTTCGGTACCTTTACCCCATCTTACTAATTTATTTCGCTATCAGTTGTGTATAATTTATGGGAGTCCAAAGTCAAATGATATTTTATGACATAATCGTAAAGAAAGTCATTAACAATACATATCTTTTGTTTTATTAACAATTTACAAATGTAATTTTTAATTTTCATCTCGTCTGCCTGTGATCACGTTTGCTGCAAAGAAACAGAAAGGTCGGGAGTGTGTATTTTAAAATAATAACAAAAAATAATAGTATATTTAGAAATATTAGTTTCATATAGAGACAGCTGTCTTAATTAAATTTAACAAAATGTAATATTCTTCTATAATTGCTGCCGAAGTCGTTTAGGAAATGTTATTTCACAATTCCGCAATAGAAGTGTCACAGACACGATTTAGGGATGTTGGCGTTACATAGAGATATATAAACTTGGTTTTCACATTCGTGAAACGCTTACATTTCCAAAGTATTTGATGCGTTCCAGTTATTGTGATAATTCTATGTATAAGAAAAATAAGCCCAATACCAGTAAAATATTGTACGTGCATAGATAAATATATTTTTTATTTTTAAGCTAATACTTCAATTGAGGAAGTTGAAGTTTGTGGTTAGAATTCCTGCGGTTCAATTATGAATACTGCATCATTTGCTGCAGTATCATTATATAAACTAGCTATTGAAATTAATTCGATGTCTATTCAAATCTGATTGTAAATGATTTACAATGACGTTAATATATTGTATGTAAATTTATGTTTTATGAAGAAAAAACAAATAATCAAAATTATTATTAATCATAAGAATGTGAGTATATGACTACATATATATTAACTTTATATTTAAGTACAAATTTGTTAAAGAAAATAAAGAATTTTAATTTTATTTTTTATATATATGTATTGTTTCCATATAAATTTTACTAAAACATACCAAATTATCTTTGAGTGATTTATGTCTTTCTTTCATGTCTACGTCAAATTAAGTAAACTAAAAATCATCCAAGATTTTTGCAACATTCAAGGTTAATAAACTCTGATTATTATCGGTTGAAATAATGATATAAAATAATTATATTAATTTTTTAATACAAAATATGTCACGAAATTACCGTTTAGGTGTTTTACAACAGATTGAAAAAATGAATATATCAAAATTATTCCTGTTCGTTATATAATCAGAAGCTGTAAGCTCGTAAATTGATATTTCGTGTTCAAATTTATCATAACATTAACAGAAAACAAGAAGCTTACGATCATGATACACTGTACAGTATATTATGGTGACGTGTCATTGTCACAAAGTAGTAATTTACAGAGAAACTTATATTAAAAATCTATTATATAAATGCAACCTTTAAAGTACTTGAAAAATATAAGCTAAAATGTTTTATTTCTTGTCAAGTAATATTTAACAGCATATGATTTATTCTATAGACAGTTAATATATTCTTATTTTTGTGTTTATTTCGTAGTGAAATGATATCGGGTGCCATCCATCAGTGATAGAGAACCTGGGTGCGTTTTCAGATAAACTTTGACCTTTTGATAACATTATTATTTCAGAAATTGTTTCAGTTTCAGCGAAGCTGGAGCGTTATTAAGTGATTCGTGTCTCGTTTTTAAAGAATCTTTTCGTCATTATTTTTCGCTCTAGTACGTGACATTTTAACTGAAAATTTGTGACTGAAGAAGTAAAAATTATGTATGTAAATCGTAATAGTTTAACGCTTTGCTTATTAAATTTATTGAGTTAGAACAGAAATTATTACAAGTATTCAGTTTCACAACACTCAAAATGGATCAATCCGTTTATCTTTACCACGAACCGTGAAGACGGAAAGCTTTTGAGTTTGATACCAAAGAGCTCTTTGGATTGAATATCCCGAATCCATTTATTTCGTATCACACATGTCACAAATATAACGTATAGCATAAAATAAGTTTTTATGTATAATTTATTTAAAACTTTAAGAATTTTTCTCGATAAGAATTACGTGTCTACTATATTTTTGTACATATTATCTAACTTATTGGTGCGGCGACATTGTTTTATAATATAGTTAATCTTTTTTTAATTGTACGTACATGA